CCACAATGCTGGGAATCCTTTCCAGCCACATAGAATTTGTTCCCTAAAGATCAGATCAGTTTGCATACAACAATGAACCTTCCTGAGATGCCCTTCATCTGATTTGGTGGTTGGAGAAACTAGAGTCCAGAAAGGCTCATGCGTCTTTTAATACAACTTTCCTGTAATGGAGTTTAGTTGCAAAAACCCTGGACTGGGAAGCAGGGAGTTGGTTCTAATCTCAGTGGCATTATTGATTCACTGGGTCACCAAGATCAATTTATTTCTCTAGGCCCCTTCTTTCTCCAACTAATAAAATGGAGTTAAGATTAACCATACACAAATATTATGAGGGAAAAAAAGGAAAATCTATGTCAAAGTGATTTGGGCTAACAGAGTTAGGAGCTCTTCATAACCAAGTAATGATTACTGTAGAACCCAGTTACAATACAGGGAGAATAAGAATGCTCCTCAGTTATGTAACTTCCTGATGATCCAGAGAAGATGGTATAATAGGAGTGGTTAAGAATGTGAGCTCTGGAGTCACACTTTCTGGGTTCAGTTATGACTCCACCACTTACTATGAGTCCTTGGGTAAGTTGTGTACCCAAAGCCTCTGTTTCCTCATCTATAATATGAAGAGCATACTAGTACTCACCTCACAGGGCTACTGTGGAAACGAAGTAAGGTAATTCATATAAAGAGCTTAGAATAGTCTCAGGTACCAGTAAGTAGTCAAAAAAGGTAAGATATTATTATTTGACTTAATATAAAGCTAAAACTGAGATAGTCAAGAGTAGTAGATGAGTAACAGGTACTACATCATCTTCCTCCAGTATTTTACTATGTAGCATCTGGTTAAAGCCCAACTTAAAAAAATTCAGCTCTAGATTAAAGTCCCCAGGATGAGAACCACATATTTGTAGGTGACTAAAGGAAGATCCTTAGGTATAGAAAAATAACTGGGTTGGGAGCAAGGTATAGAGAGGCCCTCTACCAGAAAAGTTGAGATACCTGACTCATATTCTCAACCATCAGAAGAGACAGAAGAGATAGCCCCACTCCCTATGATGAATTGTGGGGTAAGGATGACACCAACATTACAGGCCTGTCATAACAAATGTGCCATGACATGGTGTGACATGCAACAGCAATAATCAAAGCCCTGACACAGCGAGGAGCACATACAAGGTATTTCACATTATGGTCAGTTGCAGGGCTCTGGAGAACATCCAGGTCTCCTAGCTTCCCATCCAGAGATTTGCCTATTCACCTCCAGCAATCCAAACACTTCCCTGCAAGACACATTTCCTCAGGGTCCATATCTCGCCCACTATCTACAGCCCTTTCCCCTTCGCCTCTTAAATATTCCTATGCCTTGCCAATTAAGCCTCCTTCCCAAGCTATTATCTCCCAAAACCAGAAGTGCTTTACAAAAAAGTAAATCACCATATTTGGAGGCTAACCAGGATGGTGTGCAAAACCCTCCCGGACATGTTCTCCACCCCTCCCCAGTTTTGCTTCCTTTGTGAACAATTCACTTCTCTTTCCTGGCTTGGAAACTGGCCCTCCCACCTATAGTTCAGCAGGAACAGGGCTCACAGTCTGGGCTGTCTGGAAACAATTCCCTCAGCTGCGTGGCCACAGGCCAGCAAACGGCCTGAGAACCAACTCTACGAAGAGCTGCAGTCTCAGTAGGAAAGGGTGAAAGGGATACAGAAAATGGAAGGTGCAGAACTATCTCTGAGAACTATGGAACTTGGAAAACAATGATAGGACAGGGAACCAGAGGGCTATTCCTATTCATAGGGCAATAAAAACTTGAATCTGTCCTTACTTCATCAAGGTCAAAGTTTCAGGTGGGCATTGTTCTTAGACTCAGGTTTTGGCAGAAGAACTGGATGCCCCCACTGTGTTTGTATCGCTACACTAGATCCAGTGGCAAAGCAACGATAATATAATGGTCCTCTTTATCTAGGTTTCCTGCTAAAGAAGTCTTTTGTTCTGTGTGTCTGCCTGGTTCTAGCCAGTGCCTATTCATGTGACCTTTGGCAAGTCATTTAATCTCTCTGAGCCTCAATTTACTCATCTGTAAAACTGAGGGTGAAAATTACCTGTCTTGCCTTCTTCACATGGGTGTTATAGTGGTCCAGTAGAATTAAATATTAAAGCACTTGGTAAACAGTAAAGTGTTATTTGTAACTCTAATAAATTCCAAGGTCCACACGGTCCAGTCTCTACGAAACTAAAGTCAAAGAAATTCAGTCAAGCATTCAAAAAGAATGAAGAAGGGATTCCAATCTTTAGTAGCATCTGTCAAAGAACATTACAGATGATGAAATTCCTAGCTCTCGGGAACACTAAGTATTTCCTTTTTTCTCCTTCCCAGCCCCCCTCCACCTCAAAGCTATATGAGACTTTCATTCTCGGAAACCCCAAACTCTTTCATCTCCAGCCCTTGCGGCTTTTCTTTCTCTCTCTCCCTACACCCCTTTCTCTCAGTCCTTTAATATGCGATCAACTTAGTCTCCCTTACAATTTTAATTTTTCTCTCCACTTTCCTATTACCTAGGAGTAGAAGCTAGCAACTTACTCTTTTTCGTGTGCCTGACCCTCCCGCTCTAGCTCTTTCCATCTAATTCCATGATTTCCAGTTAAAATGCCTGAAAACAAGGTGGGTAAGGGGATACAGCCTCTAAAAGGAAGAGGCCTACTTAGCAAAGTATAATCTCTCTGTGGGGTTAGGATGGGGAACAGGACATATACATTGGTAAATCTCAACCTTACCATGTATTATTCTTATTATCTCCATTTGACAAGGTATCTGCAAATCTATTAAGGATGCTGTAGGGCATAAGATGCAACATAGCATCAGGAGATCAGAAGAGAAGAACGCAGGAAGGGGTGTGGAAGTAGTCCTCATAGGAAGCCAGGCTTAATGGTTTCTCTCTAGGATGGTAGAGCTGTTTAAGGGGCCTTGCTGTTGTTGTTAGTTGATTCCCACTCATGGCGACCCCATGGGTGCAGAATAAAACCACTCCATAGGGTTCTCAAGGCTGTGACTTTTTGGAACCAGATCGCTAGGTCTGTCTTCCAAGGCACCTCTGGGTGGGTTTGAACCACAAACCTTTCAGCTAGTAGCTGAGCACTTACCATAATGATTTGCACAACCTAGAGACTCCAGAAGGGCCCTCAGAGGTATAAATATAGTATTTCCCAAAATTTCTTGGGCAGAAAAATAGTTCCCAGTATGTTAACACATACTACATGGGGGAAAAAATGGAAATGGTTTCATGGCCAAATCAGTCTGGGAAATGCTAGGCTAAACAAAGCTAAAAGAATTTCTTCAACTTCGAGACTTCTCAGCAACTTAGGTAGTAGTTTTAACATGGAACACTGTGGGTGATAAATGTTTTGCAGAATATATTTTAGGAAATGCTGATTTTGACCATCCTCCTCATTGGATAGACAAGGAAGCTTCCTTTAAAAAAAACCAAACCCAAAAAAACCAAACCCTTCGCTGTCGAGTTGATTCAGACTCACAGTGACCCTAGAGGACAGAGTAGAACTGCTCCACAGGGTTTCCAAGGAGCGGTTGGTAGGTTTGAACTGCCAACTTTCTGGTTAGCAGACAAACACTTTAACCATTGAGCCACCAGGGATCCAACTATTAGAGAAGTTAAAAAACACAAAATAAACCAAACCCACTGCTGTCAAGTCAATTCCGACTCATAGCAACCCTATAGAAGACAGCAGAACTGCCCCATAGGTAAATCTTTACGGAAGCAGACTGCCACATTTTTCTCCCTTGGAGCGGCTGGTGGGCTCGAAACACCGACCTTTTGGTTACTGGCTGAGTGCTTAACCACTACACCACCAGGGCTCCTTATTAGAGGATTAGTGACCCACATAACATCACTCAGGGTTGCAGTGCAGAGACATGGCTGGATTCCAGGTTTCCTCACCCACGATGGTTTTGTGTGATAGACTTCTAGATGGAGAAGAAGAATGCCTCTACAGAGGTGCAAAAGTTGCATTTACTCCAGCATCAAGGTTATCATACCAAAATACCATAGTATACCTAAATAGTCACCTATGACAACCAATATTACATGCCAAGTCTAAACCAAATTCCAGTAGTCATGATTTGTAGCCCACTGTCTTAGTTATCTAGTGCTGCTATAATAGAAATACCACAAGCATGTGGCTTTCACAAAGAGAAATTTATTCTCTCACAGTCTAGCGGGCTAGAAGTCCAAATTCAGAGTGCCAGCTCCAAGGGAAGGCTTTCTCTCTCTGTTCGGCTCTGGGAGAAAGTCCTTGTCATCAATCTTTCCCTTCTCAGCACAGGGACCCTGGGTCCAAAGGACACGCTCTGCTCCCAGCGCTGCTTTCTTGGTGGTATGAGGTCCCCCTGTCTCTCTGCTTGCTTCTCTCTTTTTTATTTCAAAAGATATTGATTCAAGATACAACTTAATCTTGTAGATTGAGTTCTGCCTCATTAACATAACTGCCTCTAATCCTGCCTCTAACATCATAGAGGTAGGATTTACAACACAAAGGAAAATCACATCAGATGTCCAATGGTGGATAATCACACAATACTGGGAATCATGGCCTAGCCAAGTTGACACACGTTTTGGGGGGACACAATTTAATCCATAACACCCATTGATCATATACAGAATTTCGACAAAGATCACCTTAATAAATGGCAATGATTCTCTTCTACCACATTTTAAGGTAAGCATCACTCCTGGTGCTGTCTACCTGCTCCCATTCCAGAGCTCTTATCCAATGGTGATACCTCTCCAATCGTCCACGCATAGCTAAGTATAAAGCTCAGATGAAACGAAAAGGGAATTTCATTATATAGGAGCAGTAACAGACTACTGAGATAGTTCCTCATGTCTAGCATTAAAATAACCAGGTCCAAACTTTGCCTGTGTATCAACAGGGACTTGGGGGTGCCCTAGGTCCATCAGAGAAAAATGAAGGATGACCAGTGACTGCCCGTTTACCTTCTTCTTGGATTTAAAGACGTTACACCTGAAGATATTGCTGGCACCATCTCGAGCAATATAGCTGAAGATCTTCAAGTCTTGGGAATCATGAGAGACATAAAAGATCCTAGAGGAAGAGAAACAGAAAAATGCACTGAAAATGGCATTAGTTTGAAATCTCCAACAAGGAAACTTCTGTTTAAGAACACCCTGAAGACAAAGTTCACGAAAGCCTACTGTAAGAGTAAGGCTTTTTCCCCAGGGGATCAAAAAGCCACAGTGAAGGAAGCACTTTCAATAGGCTCCATAAACAATGAAACTACCCCAAAGTGACTTCCACATTTGGAAGAGTGGGCATGGATAGGAGATGGAACCCAGACTATCAGTCATCTCCTGAGGCAGCAAACCTGTTCTGGTAACTTATGCGTTAAGAAGCAGAAATGGTTCCCATCCTTCCAAAAACAACAACATTCAACTCCTGGTGACCCCATGTGTTTCAGAGTAGAACTACACTCAGCTGGGTTTTCGCGGCTGTGACTTTTTGGAAGCAGATCACCAGCCCTTTCTTCAGAGCTGCTTCTGGTGGGTTCGAACGGCCAACTTTTTGGTTAGTAGCCCAGAGTTTAACCATTTGCACCAACCAGGGACTCCATACTCATCCTTACTTATCAGAGTAGTAAATCTGCATCAAATCCAAGGAAATGTGGACAAGTTTCCTAATACCTGTTCCAGTTATCCCCAAAAGAGGAGACCTGGAGAACCATCAATGCTAATCATGTTGGGAGACACTAAGACACACTGTTTCATTGCCATAGGTCCCTTGGTGATAATGACCCCATTCCCTTTGTCCTTCTATCAGGACCACAGCTTCCACGTATTCATTCTGTCATTCAACCAATCCTAAAACCAGCTGCCGTCGAATAGATTCCAACTCATGGCGACTCCATGAGTGTCAGAGTATAACAGTGCTCCACAGGGTTTTCAATGGCTGATTTTTCAGAAATAGATTGCCAAGCGTTTCTTCTGAGGCACGTCTGGGTGGATTCAAACCTCCAACCTTTTGGTGAGCAGCTGAGCAGGTTAATTATTTGCAGGGATTCCTACTGAGTACATATTGTGGACCAGGCACTACCCAGGAGGAGCTGGAGATACAGCCGGGACAGGACAGACAAAGGCCCTGAGATCATGGAACTTACATGTAGGGTTGTCAATAAACAAACAGAAAATCAGTGCTATGAAGAAAATTAAGGCCAAGTAAGGAGATAGAGCATGATGGGGGTGCTACTATAGATAGAGTGGTCAGGGAAGGCTCACAGAGAAGCAGGGACCTGAATGATGTGTGGCAGCTGGTCATGGAGACACCTGGGCAAAAGCACTCCAGGAAGTCCCAACAGCAAACTTAAATTTCCCGAGGGAGGAGGGTGCTTGAAGCATTCAAGAAACAGCCAGAAGGTCAGCGTAGCTAGAGTGGACTGAGTGTGGTCAGCCTCAGGGTCAGAAAAGCAGCCACAGACCAGAACACAGTAGATCTTTAAGGCCATGGTTTTTATTCCAAATGAATGAGGCTTTAGAGCAGAGGACTGACTCACTTAGGCCTTAAACTAAAGGATCACTCTGGTCACTGGGGTGAGGGTAGCAAGTGAGGGCAAGGGTAGAAAGAAAAGCAAAGGGAAAAACTGGGTAAATGGGAAAAATTATAAGCCAGATGCCAGTGTCTGACTCTAAGGGGACCTAGGACACGACACCACCAGAATGCCAGGTCTAACTGCTATTGGCATGGGGTGAGAGTGTGGGGTACACGGGAGGTGCATGGGTAGAATTAGTTTTGTGTGACCCAGGGAGAACCCTGCCCTTGATAAAACATCCCTTGGGCCACGTCATTTCCACAAAACATCTTCTCAATCATGTTGGTAACTTTCGTCCAAGAATTTAACAGGCCTGCTTTGTTTTAGGGTAAGTTAGGGCTGTGTATAGAAAGAGAATGGGATACAGGTAGTCCCCGACTTACGATGTATTCGAGATAAGACAAACCGTACTTATGACCATTCCCTTTTTTTTTTTTTTTTTTTTTGGTATACCTTATCGTTAGTAACATGTTCTACATACAATGTTGCAGCATGTAATTTGCTGATGATGTTATCACTCTCAAATGTTCACTCGCAGATGTTCAATTTTATGATTTACTGTTCAAAACACTGCCATACAGATTTTATTTTCTAAACTAAATCAGGGGCTTCTGTTGCTTGAAAACATGCAACGGAAGGCATACTCACTTTGCTTCTGTCAATAGGCAGGTTTGAGAAGCAGTGAGATGTCACCACAAAATAGATAAAGAAAAAAAATCACCAAAGGACAAATACTGTATGAGACCACTATTGTAAAAACTCACGAAAAGGTTTATACACAGAAAGGAACATTGTGAAGGGAAAGACAGTACACATTATAAGGGAAATGAGCACAACCTGACCAAGGCAAAGTCATAGAAAACTTCAGAGACACATCCAAACACTTTGAGTGGCCGAGGTACTGGGCTGAGTGCTGGGGACCATGGTATTGGGGGACATCTGGGTCAACTGGCATAACATAGTTCAAAAAGAAAATGGCCTACATCTGCCTTTGGGGAGTAGCATCTGAAGTCTTAAAGGCCTGTAAGCAGCCATCTAAGATACATCTACTGGCCTCATCCTGTCCGGAGCAAAGGAAAATGAAGAGAACCAAAGACACGTGGGAAATGTTAGTCCAAAGGACTAATGGACCACAAGTACCACAGCCTCCACCAGCCTGAGCCCAAAAGTACTAGATGGTGCCCGGCTACCACCACAGACCTCTCTGACAGGGATCACAATAGAGGGTCCCGGACAGAGCAGGAGAAAAATGTAGAACAACATTCAAATTCACAAAAAAGAAAAAAAAAAAAAAAACAAGACTTACTGGCATGACAGAGACTGGAGGAACCCCGAGACTATGGCCCCCAGACACCCTTTTAACTCAGAACTGAAGTCACTCCTTTGGCCTTCAGCCAAAGATTACACAGGTCTATACGACAAACAATGACACACATGGGGAACATCCTTCTTAGATTAATCATGTAAATGAGACCAAATGGGCAAAACCTGCCCAAAACAAACACAGGAGTGGACAAGAAAATAGGACGAATGGCAATGGGGAACCTGGAGTGGAGAAGGGGAGAATTTTGATTCATGGCGGGGATTGCAACCAGTGTCACAAAACAATTTGTGTATAAATTGTTGAATGAGAAACTAATTTGCTCTGTAAACTTTCACCTAAAGCACACACACCCAAAAGCAGAGATTGCTAAAAAAAAAAAAAAAAAAGGGACCATACAGACAACTCTCAATAATTTTCTGACTAGAAACGCCATTCTCATTTCCAGGGATAATCCAGATGATCCAGAACTTTCTACAAGTGTAGTTATTTCCACAACTGACAAAATACCAATGTTGTCCAACTCTTTCTTCATCATCAGAGTAATTACAATGATTTGTGTATTTTTTAATGTATTATGAATATATTAATATATATCTGTAAGTCAGTACAACTTGACCACGGCAAAACCATACAAGCTTCCTAGACACATCCAAATACCTTGAGGGACTGAGGGCTGGGGACCATGGTCTTGTGGGACATCTAGATCAATTGGCATAACATAGTTTATAAAGAAAATGTTCTACATTCTACTTTGGTGAGTAACGTCTGTGTCTTAAAAGCTTGCGAGGAGTCATCTAAGATACACCTATTGGTCCCATCCCATCCGGAGCAAAGGAGAATGAAGGAAACCAAATATACAAGGAAAACATTAGCCCAAAAGACTAAAGGACCACGTGAACCAGAGACTCCACCAGCCTGAGGCCAGAACTAGATGGTGCCCGGCTACCACCAGCTACTGCCCCAACAGGGATCACAACAGACAGTTCCAGACAGAGCAGGAGAAAAACGTAGAACAGAATTCGAATTCAGGAAAAAAGACCAGACTTACTGGTCTGACGAGACTGGAGGAATCTCTAAGACTACGGCCTCCAGACACCCTGCTAACTCAGAACTGAAGCCACTCCCGAAGTCCACTTTTCAGGCAAAGATTAGACCTGCCTATAAAACAAACAATAACATACGAGAGGAATGTGCTTTTAAGCTCTATCAAGTATACAAGACCAAATGGGCAACACCTGACCAAAAGCAAAGATGAGAAGGCAGGAAGGGACAGGAAACCTGGATGAATGAACACAGGGAACCCCGGGGGAAAAAGAGAAAGAGGGAGAGTGCTGACACACTGAGAGGTTTGCAACCAATGTCACAAAACAATGTGTATATAAATTGTTGAATGAGAGACTAATTTGCTATGTAAACTTCCACTTAAAACACAAAACAATATACATATATATCTTTAACTTTATACATAATGTTTCCAACCCTCAAAGACAAAGACTGGATTTATCAAGTTACAGATAATAAAAGGCAATAATAATGAAAACTAAAAAAAAAAAAAGAGGTATTCGACTTACGTCAGAATCAACTTAATGATGGAGTCGCCAGAACTGAACCCCATCATAAGTCGGGGACTACCTGTATACAGTTAATGTCTACAACTCTACCATTTACTAGCAAGGTAAGCTAGGTAAACCCTCAGCAGCTCAGTTTTGTTATCTGTGAAATGGGACTATTAATATTAACACCTTGTAGGGTTAATGGGAAGATGAAATGAGACAATTAGTAAAGTGCCTTTTTATTTCTCCTTATGTATATAGCCTCTAAACAGGCTAGTATCTGAGGAGCCCAGGAAGTCTGGGACGTTCAAAAGAAATGTGGGCAGAGAGAACAACAGTGGGAAGAAACCAAAGTTCACCTTGGAGACCACATTTTTTCTGCTAAACTGTTGTTATTTGCTGTCCAGTCAATTCCAACTCATGGTGACCCCATATGTGCTGAGTAGAACTGCTCCATAGGGTTTTCAAGGTTGTGACCTTTCAGAAGCAGATCACCAAGCCTAACTTCTGAAGCTCCTCTGGGTGTGTCTGAACCATCAACCCTTTGGCTAGTAACAATTTATGCCATCCAGGGACTCCACTAGAAGTCATTTCATTACATCTAATATATCTACTAATTCTAAGT